AAAAAAAAAAAAAAAAAAAATTCTGGAACTCGCAACATGGACTACACTAAGCACGAAACGAACATGTCAAAAAAAGAAAAAAACAGCAAAAAAAAACAAGCGAAGTAAAACACAAGGAAAAACAAATAGAAATAAGAAGGCAAAAACAAGAAAAAATAAATAACTTCCTGAGGTCTTTATCTACGACCTCCTTAAGCTTAGCCGTACGAGCCGAATAACTAACAGTTGATCATTCAACAACCACTAACTTTTACGTAGAAAATTAACAATCAACAGAAATATAAATGTATATAAAAGAGCAACCAACTAAAACCATAAAACACCAAACATAAGCCTATTCCATAAAACAGTAGCACCACGAAACTGGCACTTTGAAACGTTTAACAGCAACAGAAACAACAAAAGTGTATGGACTAGGACTATTTACCACATCACATACATGGCGCTCCAGAAAATTCCATCTCATCGTAAACTTCCCAACCAACAGCCTCCCGAAGAAAAAAAATACAGAAAAAAACCTTCTACATCAACAAACACCGCCCAACCATCTTTCAACAATCCGCATAACATCACTAACTGCTTCGCTTGTACAAATGTGCGGCAAACACACAACTGCACAAGTCACCCTGAGAAATGCACACACGTTAAAGTTCCTAAACTTTACCAAACATTTAATCCACCTTCAAAATATAACTTTCTGCAAGAATAACTGAAATCAAAATCGCAACACACTCACAAACAAATACTGTTAAGCTATAAACTCAACAACCAGCTAACAACTCTAACATAACTTCAATTTTTCAACTAGCCTTAAATCCTCATCATTGTCTTTGCGCTATTCTAATTTCAATTTTTGCTACCACTGCTGCTACCACTCAATCACATCATCATCGAGCACTCAATTTACTCCTACTTTCGCCTTTAAGATCTAACCTAAGTATTAACGTAGTACCTAACTAACTAACTCACCAACTAACTGACTGACTAACTTGCTGACTAACCAACAAACTAACTAACTAACTAATCGACCGACCAACAACGACCGGAGTACAGGAAAAAAAACGCAAAGTTCTTGCGCATCACCGCTATCGCTACGCGAAAAAACGCATGAGTCGAACTGCCAACTGCAATAAGAAAAAACAGAGAAAAGAGAAACAACGTCCCATACACACACACAAAAAAAAAAAAAATAACAACCACTGCAATACTACCAAATAAATAGCAGAAATCAATTTGAACTTTTATCAGCAACCTACCAGAAATCACACCAAACCCCTTGCCTACCGATCCCTAAATCGCTCACTCATCATCATCACCTATCCTACAAAAAAATACGGATTTGAACATCAAGATCCACCACGCTGGCAAACACCCATACATTTAGTAAGCGGTTTAAGAGATTACAGAGAACTCTAAAAATCAAAATTTTCCTTTTACTCCCTAATGCTACTATAA